TTTGCCATTGTTTTTTTCTGTATCTGTTGCAATTGTATGTGTGTCAGTTCATCAGTTAATGTGGTGAATGACTTTGATTTTTTAATGTGAAGCCAGACTGATATTCTGAGATAAACTCCACTTAGTTATAAAGCATTTTCTTAAATACACACAGACACACAGAAACACACAGACACACACGTGTGTAAAACACACAGACACGTGCGTACACACACAGACACACACACACACACACACGGTTGGACTTTATTTGCTACAGGATTAAACACTTTTTGCATTTGTGTTCTCTTGAAATACTGGTCTGTAGTTACTTATTCTTATATTTGATTTGGGGTTCAGACTAATGTATTATCACAAAATTAGTTGGGGCATTTGTTTTATTTCTTCCCTCAGTGTTTGAAAGGACTGACCACTAAAAATACATGTGGATATAGTATTCTTTTTATGGGAAGATTTGAATTTACAAATTTAATTTCATAATAGATTCAGTGTTATACAGACCGCTTCTTCTTCTGTGGCCTTTAGTAGTTTGCCTCTTTTTAGGAATTTGTCCATTTCATCTAGCTCTCAAACTTATAGGCATAAAGTTTATCATCTTTTTATTAGGTGTTCCAGTTATTCATTTATTAACTCTCAGCTTAAAATCTCCTCTTCTTTACCTGCTCTGTGAGATTGGAGCATTAAACATTTCTCCTTTGCAGCATTTGTGATAATAAGCTTTGTCACAAGAAGGCACTGGAGGACATTATGGAGGAGTGAATTTTCTTCCTGGTTCCTGTTGGGAGTCAATGCTCCATGCACATTTTCACATTTTTGCAGTGAGGGCTTTTGAGCAAAGCACTCTGGCACCTGAGTTAAAAGATGATTGAATAGAACTATAAAGATAGAGATATCCGGAGAGAGAGAGCGATTTATCTCCCCAGAGCTCTTGGTTTACATTTGTTTATATTCCAGGTGCTTATATAGAAGGGAGAGGAGGGGGATCTCCAGAGACGATTTGTTTATTTTCTGGAGCAAAGGTCTTTCTAAAGGGGAGGATGGCTGGTATGCCAGCAGCCCTGTATATGCTTTGAGTTTGTTAATTTTAGAGTTCCTCTCTTGCGGTACAAAGCCCATTTGTACGCGCAGGGTACGTGTGCTACACAGCATCACAATGCATCTTCATTTGGAAGTTTCCACGTGTGGAAATAGAGCATGGGATGCTTGGCTGCATCGCCATAGGGGGAATTGAGGCATGAGGGAGGGACGCACTGTTGGGCGTGTACAAGGTCTATCGCACGAATAAGAGACTTCACATGCTCCCGTGCACACCCCCCCTTACTGATGTATACGTCCATGCCCATTGCCTTGCATAGACGTCTGCGGCAGGCTGACTTGTTGGCGCACAGGTCTGGTAGCATTTCAGGTCGGTTTCAGCTGCAGCCCTGGCGTTGCAGTGTGCCGCTGTGTCGCCTCTTGGCCCTGCTGCGAGGCTGTCAGCCTCCAGCCGCCCCAGCCTCCCCTCACACACAAGACTCAGTCCCTCGGAAGCCACTGCCCTGGCTGCTGCGCTCACTCTCTGCGGGCCTGCAGACCCAGGTGCCATCTGCTCCAGGTGTCACTCCGCCGTTCTGACCCACAGCGTCCCGGCACTCCAGCGTCCTCTGCACAGGGTCCCACCAGCCCCTTACCATCTGTGTTCCCTGGGGTCGCTCTCCGCAGCCTTCCTGACATGGACACGGCCGAGCCCTTGGTGTTTTCCTGCACCGATTGCAATTGTGTGTGTGTGTGTGTGTGTGTGTGTGTGTGTGTGTGTGTGTGTTCATCAGTTCATACGGTGAATGCCCTTGTTTTTTTTTTATTTTTATGTTTTAAAGTTTATTTTAAGAGAGACAGAAAGTGCAACTGGGGGGAGGGTCAAAGAAGGGGAAAGAGAAAATCCCAGGCTCAGCACTGTCTGCGCAGAGCCCCATGCAGGGCTCGAACTCCTGAACCATGAGTTCATGACCTGAGCCCAAATCAAGAGCCAGATGTTCAACTGGCTGAGCCGCCCAGGCGCCCCTGACCTTGATTTTTTTTTTTTTAATTTATTTCTAGGAAAGAGAGAGAGAGACAGCGTGAGCAGGGAAGGGTCAGAGAGAGAGGGAGTCACAGACTGAAACAGGCTCCAGGCTCCGAGCTGGCAGTCAGCACAGAGCCCGACGCGGGGCTCGAACCCACTAACCGCGAGATCATGACCTAAGCGAAAGTCGGACGCTCAACCGACTAAGCCACCCAGGCGCCCCCCCGACCTTGATTTGTAATGTTGAACCAGACTGATAGTCTACATTAAACTCTATTTTGTTTAGCACACCACCCCTTCAGTGAGTGTAGCCCCAATACCTGACTCCTTTTGTACTCTCATTCATCAGCATTGTTTCACCTGCAACTGTGACATTGTGATTGGTCCGTCCTTCCTTCCTTCCTTCCTTCCTTCCTTCCTTCCTTCCTTCCTTCCTTCCTTCCTTCCTTCTTCCTCTCTCCCTCCCTCCCCTCCCCTCCCCTCCCCTCCCCACCTTTAGGCCATCTCTGGTTTAGGTAACCCAACTATCTTCCCTCCATCACGGGGTGGTCCATAAGACCAACTTTTCCAATGAGGTCTGTATTCAGGCTTGAAGAAGGCATGACTTTCGAGTTTATTCCTCCTCGAATACTCTTCCTCAAACTTACCTTGTTTTGTTTTGTTTTGTTTTGTTTTTTAGAGTTTTCCTTATACTTTTATCATTGCCCTTCATTATATTCCTTTTTTAAGTTATGGAGACTTTATTTATGAAAGACTCTTAAATTAGTTGCACCATGCCATTCATTCATATAAAGTATAGTGACCTTACAAATCTGTAGGGAGAAGAGCTCACAAAACTCAATCAATAGTTATTATTTATATCAGAACTTCTCTGTTCAGATGACTGTTTTCTGTGTCCTGATTAGATTTGAACTGATATTTGATGTACAAAAACAACCTTGTAACTGGCATACAATAAAGAACACATATTTAAAGTGTATAATTTAACACATTTTGACATATGCATACACTCATACCATCAGGATAGTAAACATATTTATTAGCTCCAAACATTTCTTTTTTTTTTTAAGTGTTGTTTGTTTATTTTGAGGGGGATAGGAGGGGCAGAAGAGAGAGGGCGAGAGACAGAATCCCAAGCAGGCTCCACACCAGCAGGACTGAGCCTGACGCAGGGCTTGAACTCACAAGCTGTGAGATCATGACCTGGGCCGAAACCAAGAGTTGGTGCTTAACCAGCTGAGCCACCCAGGTGCCCCCAACCCCAAACATTTCTAAATGGCAAATGGTACTTTAGCAATCACATAAAGAGAAGGTGCCAGGGGTACATTTAGTCTGGGTTCATTGTATCAGTTTACGTGGTTCGCTTTCTTGTATAGTCAAGTCAGTGTTGGTCATCTTGTTTTAGGAGTGACTTCTGGGATTATGTCTGTGTCCTGTTCTCACCTGTTTCTCGATGGGAAGTATCAAGGCCATGTGAACATGTCCTGCGGCATTAAGCATAGACCTGTGTGGCTACCGGAAGAAACATAGGGTTTACAACATATAAATGTATAGATCCAGGACTTGTCTGTGCAAAATTGTTCTCAATTCTATACTCATGTGTACAAAAACCTGATAGAGGTTTTCCCAATTTTCTAGCAAAACTTTCAATTACCGAGAAACGCAACAAAAAGTAAAAAGAGTCATTTCTGAACTCTTAATGGAAAATAACATGTTATTATCTATGTTCAAGTAGAAATTAAATTAGCTATCTGGCATCTTTACAGAAGAGGGAGTCAAAGAGGTTGGGACCCAAAAAATGCAGGCAAAATTTCCTGCAGTGGTAATCTGACAGGTCATTAATAAAAATACTTGTTTCCCTTGAGTTGATTATGTTCGTGGTATTGGTCAGCTTTTACATTTTAAAGTTTGCAATTTGTTGGTTTCATATTAAATATGAATATTAAATATTAATATTTTAATCATAAATATTAATGGTTATACTTAATTCTGTAGCCACAAAATGGATACAAATTCTGGACCATGGAAATGTGTGAGCTTCGAGTATAACATGAACTGTATCCATCCCTGCCTCCAAACGTTACTTTACTTGGTCACCCCCTAGCAAGTGAATTACCCAGTGTATGATATTGTTTATGATATTAGAGACTATGTACAGATTTTGAATATAAATATTGATGATGATGATGGTGGCAGGGCTGGCTATGTTGAATATGACAGCAGTAATGGTAATGAATGGGTGTTTCTTTTAATCACAGATCCAGCTAAATCCATTAGCCACCTTTCACAGAGTTTTCTGACACCCAAAAGATTTCGTTTGCTCAAAATTTTACCTACTGCACTTGTACTCTGCCTTGGTCCTCACTGAACAGTGAGAACCTCTGTTCAGCATTTGCTGTATCTCTCTCGATGTGGTTGAGGTCTATATTTCATCAACCCAAAGTCAGAGCACACAGTTTTCCCCTGTTATACATTTATGGTATTAAACAATATGGTATTTCAAGCTTTATGAAAATATCTGGTTAACTTACATTTGCTTAGATACTTCAAGAATTGCCTTTATTGTAGACAGCACATGAGAATTAAGTAACATACATATAAAAGTACATGAAAACCATACCAGAAAATTAGGAGCAATGTTATTTAGGATAGTATTTGTCTAGTCTTTCATCATTATGTTTTCAGGTGTGTTTTTCCATTTAAGGGGTAGCGTTGAAATTGGTGGCTTCAGACATATTTTAGGCTCAAGACAAAGGTTAGAAATTCTCTTGTGTATTATGCCTTGAGAATTATTCAACACAGCATATAAGTCAACTCATAGGTATGCTTTCATCATATTTATGACAGTGTGTTGTTTTTAGAAGTCTATATCTTTTATTCTTCATGCATATCTTCCTACACTTTGAATTGATTCCTTCTTGTCTTTCCCTTTGTCTTTTTTTCTTTTTTTTTTCCAGTCAGATTGCTCAATCCCAAGACAAAGAGCTCTTTGACAATGGGCTAGAGAAAAGGGTTAAAAGATGGTTTAGAACAAATTCAAGAAAGAATGATCCAGTTCACGCTTGGAGAAGCTGAATCCATGAGCTGAATCCAGTGGGGCTGTGGGGCCTGGGGAGGAAATTGTGAGTACTTGCTCTTGATTGAGTATCATTACCCTCTGTTGTCTAGGAAGATGATTGTTATAATTAGCAACAAATGTCATGGGGAACTATAATTTACTTTACCCTGTAGCAAATGATAGTTTACCTTTCTCAGTGCCTTTTTCTACCTAGCCACCATGTCACTCTCCTCTCTTCACTTCTCCATAACAGTAAAATATAGACTAAAATATATCTCTTATGTATCAATGTATACTTATAGCAATAATGTGACTTTTCATTTTTTATAACTAACTGAATGGACACTCTCTCAATTTTTAAGCCCTTTTATAGTTAAAATTCCTATAAGAAGTTTTTTTTCTCTATATTTTCATGTTTTCCTCAATATTTAGGTATTGCTCTTATAATCCCCCCAAATTGTTATTTTTTTAATGGTATAGTTTTATATGGATAGATACAAAGCAGAATCTTTTCAAATCAAAAATGTATATTGAACTTTCTGGAAAGTCAAACTGGGGTGAAGACTGGCAAATTAGAAAATGGAATGAAAACACAACGGATGGGGTGGGGTGTATGGGGAACAGGAACTAAACAATTCCTTGTAGAGCTTGTGCTTCATACAACTAGGAATTGCATATTCTGTCTTACTCACCCCTGCACTGCTGGTACCTAACACACGTAGTTGATAAATGTTTGTGACTCGAGTGAATAGAGAATTATATGGCAGAGTTGATCATGTATGTGGACTGCCAATATTTCTACTTCATAGGGCATGGGAATTTAAAAACAAAAGAGTCCATAGAATTCTGGCTTATTTGACTGTGGTACATAATTTTTGGTTACTCATTACTCAGTAAAAACTTAAAGGATGAAAATAATAAATTTTTTTAAAATTCCTATAAGAAGAAGTGAGAAACCATGGGTTGGAATAGCAGGTACATAGGACGGGTTGTTAGAGATATTTGAGGACTATGCCTTATTAATTTTATTTCTTTGTGTAGTATAAAAGGATGTTAGTTATGGCGTGGAACAGTACTTTTTGAACAGAATTTTATTTTCCCTTGGACTTTATTTGTGGTGTACTTTTTCAATTTCATTTCGATATTATGATGGTCATCCAGTAGAATTACATGTAACTCTTGAGTTAAATTTTAAAAACAGAATCCAAAGCACAAGAGTTTATAAAGCATCATATAATTAATTGTGAAGACTATTGAACTAGCATGGACCCATGTTAGGTATTTACTACATGAGAGTCATGATCGTTGAATTGCCTTTAAATGAAAGTAACTCAAGTGATCTTTTGAAATGTGTCACTATTTGGGACTTTATACTATACAGAGGTGAACAAGCCCCAGTGAGTATTTTTTTTTTTTAATGTTTTATTTATTTCTAGGAGAGAGAGAGAGACAGCGTGAGCAGGGGAGGGTCAGAGAGAGAGGGAGTCACAGACTGAAACAGGCTCCAGGCTCTGAGCTGGCAGTCAGCACAGAGCCCGACGCGGGGCTCGAACCCACGAACCGCGAGATCATGACCTAAGCGAAAGTCGGACGCTTAACCGACTACGCCACCCGGGCGGCCCCAGCCAGTGAGTATTTTTAAATAACACAGAATATTATATTTAGAATAGTAATGAAATGAAAGAAGTCAGTGAAATAAATAAATAGTAGATAAACCTAGGGCAAAGATAAGAGCTTTGCAAACTGAGGAGGGATGTGAATAATGCCTCATAATGATATATTTTATCCGAGTGTAGCATTTTACAGTAGTCCCCACAGTATCTGTGCTTTTACTTTCTGCAGTTTCAATTACTGGTGGTCAGCCAAGACCTGGGAGCACGTGATCCTCCTGGCTCACTGTCGGAAGATCAATAGCAGCCTAACGCTGTATCACAATGCCCACGTCTTTGACCTCGTTTCATTTCGTCATGTAAACATCTTACCATCTCCTGTCATCACAGGAAGGGTGAGTATAGTATAGTATGATATTTTAAGAGAGAGATCACATTCACTTAACTTTAATTATGGCATACTGTTATAATTGTTCTATTTTTTATTAGTTATCAGTACCGTGTCTAACTTAGAAAGTAAACTTTATCATAGGTGTGTATGTATAGGAAAACGTGTACATAGGGATCGTTACTGTCCTTTGTTTCAGGCATCCACTGGGGGGGGTCTTGGAACATAAAAGGGGAGACCGTCATATTTCTTTTACTACCACGGTTCTAGAATGAGTAGTCAACACCTTATTTTGATGTCTCTTCTTTATATCCTTCTGATCGAAATTCATTCTGTATGTTTTCACTGAGACTCTGTTCTAGAATATCATTAATACACTGTTTTTAACCATATGCAGTGGCCTTTGCTCAGTGTTCATTCTCCATAGCATCTCTATAGATTTCAATATTTTTGACCATTCCCTGCTTCTCAAAACAGTTAGCTTGTGTGGTATTGATTCTGATTTGGCTTCTCTCCTGTGGGTTGCTCCTTATCTTGGTACAATTCTTTTCCACTTTTCTAAATGTGCATGTTCTGTAAGCCTGTTTCCAGAATATTTGCTCTTTTCATCCTTTCTAGGGGAATTTCTGGTTTCTAGTCCTCAACCATTTCTCTGTGGACAAGACTATGCCAACTGATATTTTTTTCCATCTCTGCAATTGTCTTCTCGAGACTCCTAGAGTCCAGGGAAATGAGAGAGAACTAAAACGATTAAGGGTGTTTTGTGAGATCAGAAAACTATCTAGTTGTAAATTTGGAACTCCAGAAATAATTGGAACAATGGAGATCTGGTTGGTAGAAACCAAAATGAAGCTGGAGTTTATTTTATATTTTTATTTTTGCACTCGCTTGAAAGAAGAATCTTCTCAATATACATTTTTATCTTTCATGCTTAATTTCAGAGTTGGTTCATATGCTGGTGCATAGCTTTTTGCTAAAGGTCAATAAAATATGTACTATATCCAACTATTTTGAAGTAATTAGTTCAGGTACTAAGCAGAGGTGCATAGTTTCTCGGGTGATGGAAAAATTCAATTTCTATTTATAGTGAAAATTTTATTAGTGGCACTGGGGCAAGTCCATTAATTTATCACCACTTACTGATTTTGCTGTTATTGATTACAGTATTTATGAAGTGATTTTAAGCTCTCAGAGTGCCTGGATATCAGGTAACACTCCTTCCTTCATTTATTTTTTTATAGGATTTTTAAAAACATTTTTAAATTATTTTTGAGAGAGAGAGAGCGTGCGCGAACAGGGGAGGGACAGAGAAACAGGGAGACACAGAATCTGAAGCAGCCTCCAAGCTCCAAGCTGTCAGCACAGCTCGAGCTCACAAACCATGAAATCATGACCTGAACTGAAGTCAGATGCTTAACTGACTGAACCACCCAGGTGCCCTCCTTTACTTTTTTTTTTTTAAGTTTATTTATTTTGAGAGAGGGAGAGAATCCCAAGCAGGCTCTGCACTGTCAGTGCAGAGCTCAATGTGGTGCTCAAACCCACGAACCATGAGATTGTGACCTGAGACAAAGCCAAGAGTCAGATGGTTAACAAACAGAGCGCCTCCCCCCCCCCCGCCCCCCGACCCCTGGAGTCCCGGAGTCCCTTCCTTTATATGCTCAGTTGACAAGTTCACTTGCTGAGGCCTCATGAATGTATTTCCATAGGTTTGTTTTCCTGATTCCTGGAGCCGCAGAGGCAGAATTTACTCTATACATTCTAATTATATAGGATTGCCCCATAAGTTCTTGATTTTTTTTAACCATATTCTTGTACATTGATAGGATTTTAAACTAAGAAACAAACAACCAGAAACATAAAGAAAACCATGCGAGAGACAGACATTCGAGCCCAAGTTCAGCTTCTGTGTCCTGAGTGAAATGTGACTGTAAGACCATGAGATTGGTTTTTCCATGTGATTGTGAAACTAGTCTCATTACCTTAAACTCCCGCCCTGACTGCTCTTGTCACCATAAAAAGTGCAAAGAATACTCTCATTTGCTGCCTAAAGCTTGGTTTGGCTAATGAAGGAACTATTTCCGGGGCACCTCTTGGCATAGGAAGGCGTCGTGTACAGAAGCATTGCAGTTACTTCTGAGACGTTACACCGTGTTTGCTTAACAGGTTAATTGCCCTCAATTTCCTTTTGTTTGCATTTGCTTCCTTTTGCTTCTCTGTCAGTTTTCCTCTTGTCCACATTGTCTGGGTCATGATTGTCGACCAAAATGTCCGGACTTTGGATAATTCAGTAGATTTAAACAACATGGTGTTCATTAGGGAAAACTGCTGAATCCACAAGGACCCTCCACTCTTTCTCTGAGCCTCATGGGCCTTCGGCTGTTTCTTTTACTCTGCAAATTTGAAGGGACAGTTGCATAAACAATATTTTCCCCTTTCTTATGTCATTTTCTGAACTGGAAATATCTGCATTTGGCCTTCAACATACATGGGAACTATATTGGACAGTAAAGAAAAGCTTTTGGTGGAAGTAAGAAATATCTTAGACTGGGACACCTTGGGTGGCTCAGTCAGTTGGCTGTCCATCTTCGGCTCAGGTCATGATCTCACAGTTCATGAGTTTGAGCCCTGCGTTGGGCCCTGTGCTGACAGCTCAGAGCTTGGAGCCTGCTTAGGATTCTGTGTCTCCCTCTCTCTCTGCCCCTCGCATGCTCACACACTCTCTCTCTCTCTCTGTCTTAAAAATAAACATTAAAAAATAAAGTATCTTAAACTGAGAAGTACATCTAGTGAGACAAAATCATTAATGTTATCAAATATTTTCAATAAAAACATATTGAAATAGAAAATTGATGTTACAGTAAACACGTTAAGAAAATTGCTACACTAGAAATTTTGAGATGGGAGTTTAAGAAATTTATTTGAATATTTTTTTAATGTTTATTTACTTTTGAGAGAGTGAGAGAGAGTGGGGAACAGAAGATCTGCAGAGGCTCTGCACTGACCGCATAGAGCTTGATATACAGGGATTGAACTCAGGAACCGTGAGATCATGACCTGAGCCCAGTTGGACACTTAGCCGACTAAGCCACCAAGTTGTCCCTTGAATATTTTTATTTGACCTGCTCCTTTTAAGGTTATTTAAATACTTAGATTCAAACTGAATAAATCGGAGCACTATGAGTTACCAAATATTAGAAGACTTAAAAAATATCACCATATTCATATCCCTGCTAAATTCATTCTGTGTTCTAGAGTTTGCCAAAACATACAGTAATATTATGATAAATCTCTTGAAGGGTATTTTGTGATAAAATAATTGGAGAAAATGATTTCTTTATTACATAAAGCAAAACATTAAGATATTAAGAGTAAATACTTTCACAAAAGATTGAAATTCAAACAAATAGAATGCTCAGTTACGTTCTATGTGTTCTAAAATTTTGAATCTTGTTTTATTTCACAGTTAGATTTTTGACTGATAGATTTTGATAAAACAGCAAACATCCCCTTCCCCCCCCCCCCCCCCCGCCCCCGGCAGCATACCAAAACCACAACACCTTAAGGGAAATCTGTTTAATTTTATTTTTTAAATTTTAAGATATTTAAGAGTTATGCTCTCATCTTCAGTTCTATTTCAAAGTAATAAAAGCATAGGTACACAATGTATTTATTTTCTTGTCCTTCAGGCCTTCCACTGATTAGATTATTAGTTATTTGATTTAAAAGATACACCAGTGTTTTTGCTTTTATTTTTTAAATAAAGCAGGCTACTTAATCACATACTGTATGTAAAGAGAAAACAGGCCGGCAAGTCTATTCTATTGTACATCTAAAGCAGACCTAAGAGGCGCCTGGCGGGCTCAGTTGGTGGAGCATGAGACTCTTGATCTCAGGGTTGTGAGTTTGAGCCCCACATTGGGTGTAGGGATTGCTTGGAAATAAAATCTTTCTAAAAATAAATAAAACTGCTTTATGGGGCGCCTGGGTGGCTCAGTTGGTTAAGCGTCTGACTTCGGCTCAGGTCATGATCTCACAGTTTGTGGGTTCGAGCCCTGTATCGGGCTCTGTGCTGACAGCTCAGATCCTGGAGCCTGCTTCAGATTCTGTCTCCCTCTCTCTCTAACCCTCTCTCTCTCTCTCTCTCTCTGTCTCTCTCTCTCTCTCTCTCAGAAATAGATAAAAAATATTTTAAAAAAGTTTTAAATAAATAAAATTGCTTTAAAAAATAAAAAGTAAAAAAATAAAGCAGTCTTAAAACACACCAAGAAAATATAGCAAAATATCACTCAAAGTAAATTATGTTAAGAATAATTTAAACTCGGGGTGCCTGGGTAGCTCAGCTGGTTGAGTGTCCAATTCTTGATTGCTGCTCAGATCACGACCCCATGGGCTCCATGCTGAGTGTGGAGCCTACTTGGGATTCTCGCTCTCTGTTTTTCTCCCTCTGCCCTTCCCTTGCTCACATTGTGTGCATGCACATGTGCATGCATTCTCTCTAAAATAAAAAAAAAAAAGTAAAACTTAAAAAAAAACTTTAAAAGATAAACAATGACAAGACTATTAAATGCATATCATAAAAACCTACACACTTGCTACAAATACAGCAAAAAGTCAGCACTAAGCTTTTTACCAGTTAAGTGAAAATTTTTAACCTGGACAATTCCACGGTTCACAGAGTTTATGTGTTTAAAAATAGACCAATTATTCAAGAGGTACAATTACTTTGCATACTAACCGTAGACAAAGATGTTTCGCAAGGCTTCTCATGATGAGAATGATGTAATGAATGGTGACCTCCATGAGATTCCTACAGAGGAGTTCAGAGGGTCTGTTATGAAAAAAATTATATATTAAATATTTAAGACTTAATGTAGTTATATTAATATATGTAAATGGATATTTGAGTACAGAAATAAAACATCAGTATTAAATAATAAGCTACATATTCTGTTTTTTCTAGAGTGTTACAATGAAGCAGAGAATAGAGAGGTACACTCAAATTCT